AAGGGGAAGGGGAAGGGGGGGGAAAAAGAGGTGGAGCTAATGAAGGAGAGCAGGTTAATACTTCAGCACCAGCACAAAGAGAGCAGGAAATGCCCTGACAAAGATCAGTCTGAAAACACACCCTGATGTTAGCCCGGAGTTGTCTGTGAGGCCATCAGTGAGCTTTTTATTCAACACCTAGCACACTGGTCCTTGATCTGCAAGGAGCCTGCAAAGCTGCAGTGAGCCAATTAATAAACCAAATAATTTTATTCATTTCTTTCCTTCTGCCCCCACCCCAGCCCACCAGAACACTAGAACCTCAGACCTGACCCACAAATTTCTCTGTACATGCATAACTTCATGGTAATCTTCGTACTGAAGTCTTTGAGACAATTACAAACTACACTTTGCTGTGCTTGCAGGACAGAGCCATAAATTTCTTTCTTTAGCAATGTTGTCATTAATGCATACACTGATTTTTTTTTCTTCTTCTAATGAAACAAACAGGGAGGATTTTATTTCTGAAATTCAATCTAAAACAATGCCTTAGGAAAGCAAAACACCTTTGCGGGCGAGCATCGAAGATCGCTACAAGGCTCCACAGAAAAACATGATTTTTTTGTTTGCTGATGCAAATCCAGCAGAATTGAGGAAAATAAAAACATAGCAATACTGCTGCCCTCCTGGTCCTAAAACACGTCTAGGTTTTTGATTTCTAAGTGAATGCTTGAAAAAAAGTAAAACCAGAACTTGCTTCCCCAAATTGTTTTAACATAAATATATTTAGGCATTGAAACTTCTGTTACTAGCCCCTTGAAAGTTAATTCTTAGGACTAAATGATTAGGGCATAAAAACAATTGTGTTCTTCACAAACCCAGATAAAAATCCGTAGACTATTACTAGGTTTCATCTCATTTTTATGACTCCTCTTCTCAAATAAATCAATCACATAAAGGTAAACTCAATGTGGGGAGTTAAGCTCTCCACAGAGACTGTGGAGATTGCAAACATAAGTCAAATAGGAAGAAAGAAAGCTTAGAAAATGGATGGTTTATACTGGTTTACTTCAAAGCACTGAGAGATGGCTGAAAGCGTTAACATACAGTGAGCACCGATTCCAGAAGAAATAATGGAAGCCTCTCTTACCAAACATGCAACTGTAAGTAAAAAACCCACAACTTCTACAGCTACTTCTCCAACTGCACAGGATTTCTATTATATCGAGAATCTTCTAAAGATTTGCAGCAAAATCATCAGCCTTAAAACTAGCCTTAAAGTAGCAAGCCTGTGGTTATCCTGATAACTGGGAGTATTAGGAGATTTTGTTAAGAGTCTTCCATGAAGACAACTACCTTCTCAGCAAAGGGCATATGGAATTAGTCACACCGCACACTATTAATGGGAGTTACACATAATAGTGAATGCAAACCACTGCATTTTCAGAGATAATTAGAAGCAATTTCCTCAAGTTCTCTTTTTCTTGTCCTGCATATGTAAGAGTCATTTTCTTTTTCACCCAGACACTGTTTTAGCACAAAATATGGTGCTATCCACATTTTCAGGTGTTCAGAAAAAATAGTAAGGACTGGTCATACATCCAAAGGTGTTTTTTTTGGTTCAGAACTATGTTTTATGTGTTGAAGGTTCAGATAAATGCAATACTGCTATTGTACAAACATTTTACCTCCCCAAAAAATTATAAACTCTTACTTAGACCACAATTAAAAGTGAGATGAATTACTTGATTCTCTGCCTGTACACGTTGCAACACCACAAGTAACTAGTTTCAGCAAGATTCACAAAGGTTGATCAGAGGAGACTCAGGACTGGAATAAGAAAATGCAGGAGGTCAAAAATGGAATTTATGAATAGAAGACATGGGAAAGCTTAGATAGTGGATATGTGAAGGTATGTTGCTCACTTTTATATACGTCAGCAACACAATATAACCCTGCTGCCTTATCAGTGTTTAATTAATTTTTTTTCTTTTTTTTTTTTTAAATCATTCTCTTTCCTTTGTAAAAAAGACCCAAACAACAAGGAGACATGAATGGCTACACAAAACCAACAAAACTATCTCTATAATGTTCTGGTCAAATGCATAAATAAAATAAACCAGAAAAAAATCCAATTTAGAGTAAATTTATATCGTACTTGTAGTAGTAAAACAAATCTCTGATTTGAATTTCATTTTCCTGTTGAGCGTGCTCATTTGAATGAAAAAAAAAAGTTACAAAGTTATGACCATTTACAAAATGCAGGTGTCGTATTTCATAGCCTCTGAATAAGAAGTGTCCGAGTATCACATCAAATGTCATTAGCGCACTAAGGCCTCACTTTTGAGGGTATTTTAGTAAAAGGTGTCCTGCTGTCTGGAGACACCTGCTACACAAACCATTAAATTGCTGGAAACCTGGCATGAGAGCACATGGCAAAAGAAATTGAGAAAATAGTGAGCTGATGCTTCTTGTCAGGCAGAAACTGTAATTCAAATGTTTGTTGGAAATCATTGCTATCTCCATACAGAATAAAACAGTAAAAATAATGCAGAGTCACGTGTCTCAAAAATCCACGTAACAGCGTTTTCTGAAGCCTGCAGTTATCTCCTCAGGCAATAGCATAGCACTGTTCAAGAGAAACAGTGACTTTGGAGAATTATGGACTAGAACTAGTTAGAAGTTTACAACTGACACTGGCAGTGACTGAGAAAAGCATTTCAACTAAGTGCGATTTTTTCAAACAAAGATGTCCCTTCTCCAGAGAAAATACCAAATTTTGAAGAAACTCCCCAAAGTCTCATTCCCACCATCTTTTTCTGCATGAGAAAAGCTCCCTTAGGTTTATGACCAGATCCAATGATGGCAACATGAGATTTTCTTTACTGAAAGTTTTTAACTGGATGCGGCAATTCAGAAAGCTGAGCCGAAGACAATCAGTGCATCATGCTCAGAGCAATAATCACTGAAATAGTATGTTCAGAATTCTAGATAATTGTATTATTAAACATAATAAATTCATATTAAAAAATCAGGCATAAATGCAGGCATGTCACTAACATTAACTGCAGGTTTACTTCTTAAATATTTCAGACATCCTACCTCGTTATTGACTTCGGCAGGTTTTTTCTTTGTTTCTCCGATGTCCAAATAGCTGTGGAAGGAAAACAGGATTGATTATTTACAGAAGCATCTAACTTACACAATACAAATATTTCTACACTTTTTTCATACATGAAGCTTTAAAAATTTATCATGGTTCAAAATAACATAAAAAGTAACTAATTCAAGACTTTAATGAAGGAGTGTTCATATAAATCTGCAAACTAGCCCTCTGGGCTAATACAAAACACAAGGGAGAACCAACCATCTACCTTCAAGTCACTGGTGATTAGAACAGACCATCAATGACCCCCTTGTCAGAAAGAAGCTCACATACTACTGTAAGGTGGATCAATAAATCTCACCACAATATCAACTTACCAGAGTTTTCAAAGTCATCATCTTGCCTCTTAGTTTCTCACAGTAAGTCTCTGATAGATTTAAAGCTTTCCTCCATACCCAACTTTAACCCAGGGCATCAGCCAAAGTTTAAAAGGATCTACACCACTTGTGTTTCAACAGGATGCGGACACATCTCAACACTGCATATCCTGGTTTCTCATGGTTGTGATGAACCAATAGCATCTTTACAATTATTTTATGAATAGACAAAATACAAGCCTCAACTGGACAAGAAAACAAAATACATCTATTTGAACAATACTGCTTTCCATCAGAGTACATATTCCCACAAAAACATTGCATTAACACAAAAGCGTTAGTTAAAACACACAGCGATGGATTAGCTGCATGTTGCCTTTCCAAAGAAAGGGAATTAAATAAGCCTTCAAGCATGAGTAACCCATAGACTGGCAAAGAGGCAACTGTCCACGTACTCAGACTACGCTAACTCCTTTCCCTTGTCAGCACTCTGAGAGCCATGAGAGTGGTTCTTCTCATGAATGCAGCTCTCAGTAGCCGCTGACTCTGCAAGATGTTTCTAGTTCTCAGCGCTGTAGGAAGAGACACCTTCGTGGGCAGTTATAACTCAGGACAGCAGCACCATTCAGCACCTTCTGCCAAGAGCTAAACATGAGAACAAAAATGGCTGGGGCATCTATTCTACACTGGGAGCATCTAATCCAACATTAGGTGATCAGCATTTGTTACAGGTTCTCCCTATTCCCACTTTCAGTGGGAAACCACAGGTGCTTTGGCCGGCTTTCAAGACTAGAAGACCCTATCTGAGAACATCAGGTATACCTGATGGCAAGCATCAGTGCAGGCTCACCAAAAGACCTCAGAGCCCGCAATGCATCTGCAGCCCTCCAGTAACGTCATGTTTTGTAGTTAATGACTGGGATAAGATCTGTTTGCCAGAGGAAACTTTTCTGCCTGGCCGAAGTTGAGAATTCATGAGACCTGAATGAAGGTGTAGAAGCAAGAAAAAAAAAAAAAAGAGAAAGAAAAAGCATCATTCATTCTTTGAAGGAATGGCAATCGTTTATCAAGGTACCACAGAATGGTCACAAGGATTTCAAGGCTTCAGTGTGCGGGGACAGTAAGACACAGCAAGGTTTCCAGGCAGTGCTTGAGATTGCATGCCAATGCTTTGGAAAAGGTAAATGTAGCAATGTAAGACAATTTTTAAAAACAAAGTGCCCAAGCCTTATGTTTAAAAACAAACAAAAACAACTGTTGCAAGCTTTTCCATGTAAAAAGGAATGAGTTCTCGAGACGGAAAAAAAGAAGTCTTAAAGCCTGCAAGACTGAAAAGAAATAAATGCCTCAGACAAAATAGTTCCAACAGCCTATAACAACAGCTGCTGACTGTGGTTCTTGTTTTCTGGGCATCTGTGAATTACTTCGAGGAGAACTAAGAAAAGTGATAAAGAAAAGCAAATATATAGTCAAAGGCTTAAATTCACTATGCGGAGGTCTGGGCATTCAGTTATCAAATTTCAGGGATCTACAAATCTGGAAAGGTCTAAATAGGGCCAAAGGCTTTTCTTGGGATAACGGCACCCAAAAAAATCCCAGACCAAAAATTTTACGAAAGTATTCCCACTGCTAAGAAAGCAGAAATACTTCCACCAAAAGACTATCCAAGCCAGTGATGAAACTACAGTGTTGTTTAAAGAGACACTGCTGGAGAGAGGACAATCTACCATTAATTAATGAGCACAGATACAAGTAAATGGGCAAAGGAGGAGGGTAGAGTAGCACGCTGAAAAAAAGCTGAAGATCGAAACAAGCTCCAGCGTAGACAGTTTTCTTTCAGCAAGCTGAGAGTCAAGGAAGAACTCCACAGGGGTGCAGGCCTGAACATGCATTCTCACTCACAACTGCAACAACTACAATATACCAACACCTCTGAAGTATCTATCTGAAGTATCTATCTGAAGATGTTAAGATTCATGGCTTGGAATGACAGAAGTTCACATGCTAAAGGTGAGCACAGTTTAGAATTCACTGCGGACAGGGAAGAAAAAGATTCAGTTCTCAGTATAAGGCATCTGAGAAGAAACAAATGCACTGTTTGAAGTGGACTGATGACACTTTCAGCTTCTGCTTCTCCTTGGATACTCTCTCCTTTCCATTATGCTCCCACACATCGGTGCCACAAGCCTCCATTTCAAAGTTCAGCCCTGCATAGTCTATCATAGCAATGAATGTGTCCAACAAGCATCACTGCAAAAAAAATTGTAAAAAAATGTACAAACTTCTTGCTGCTATCAGACCAGACTCAGATCCTTTAGGGCAGATGCTTTGGTCTCCCACAGCTGCAACTGCTTTATCTTTGCCTGTGACGCATACACAAACATACACTCTTTTCTTTAATTCCTTCAATTCCTTCCAGAAAACCGTCCCTTTCAATTAACCCCTCCTCTCCTCTGACCTTTCTGGCTAAGATGTCTCCCTAATTATCATTCTGTCTACAACCTAGTTAAGAACAAGATCAACATTAAGCCCTTCAGCCTGTCTTAAATAATGCTTGTAAAAGCACTGCCAACATTTACAGCACTATATAAATAAATACTGATAGTGAAGAACTCCAACTCTGAACACAGAAATGGAAAAGATCTCAAGTCATCCCGTTTATCCTCCCTATGGAACAAGACTATGGCATACTATCAAGCAATATATAAAACAGCCTGCTTTTACCGAGTCCTTTAGGTTAGCTTTTCTTAAAGTATTCTCTTCATTGACCTTAAATACTTGGGTATCTTGTTGCATGTTGCAACCATAAAAGTCTGAAAAGCTCTCACCATAAAACTCTGACCATAAAACATGAAATGACAAAAAGAAATGCTTTTTCCCACCCAAAATAAATCCAGAGTGCTCAATTCTCTACACAGTGAGAATGCCAAACACTTACTTTCAGCCTGTCTGTTGAACATAAAACACATTTAGGGAGGTGAAACATGATGTGCTGACAACTAACAACTTTAAGCCATCCACATAATCACGGGATTTAATACCAAAAAGATACGGTAGATTTTTCTTGAGAGTTGAGCACTGGATTTGACATGGAAGAGAATACAGAGGGAAAGGGACTTATATTTAGCCTATCATACATCTTTCTCTCTGGCTTTGCCACTGAAGAGCACGAAGCCTCAATAAATCTTCAGAAGCAGACAGTGACAAAAACAGTAAGAGTGCTGATAAAGATCCTGTTCATTACACAGAGAGTTTTGTCCTGAAACATAATAAGCTCTCCTGAAAAATGTAGTGTCCTCAACTCTACACAACCAAGATGAGTGAGGTCCTGTAAAGCTGGTAGTTTAGCATATAAATTCCCAACCACCTCCAGAAAGGGATTGTTAATTTTGAGATTTTTTTTTAATTCAATTGTAGGAAAAATGCCCATAAAGACTGAGCAAAACATATAATTAGGCAACTGAGACCATGAAATTCACTGTCAGAATTAAGAACCATTACTGATCACATGCAGAGCCACTTGGGAAACACACCTAAAAGCCCAGGTCTCCTCCACGATATTCTCCCAGTCACCCACTAGGAAACAGAGAAACTGTCAGCTTAATTCTTGGTGTCTAGGCAGGGAAAAGAAAGCAAACATCTTTTAAATAACAGGAGGGACTCAGCTATTCTGGTCATAAAAAGGCTATATACCTACCCAAAATGAACAGAAGTGATGGAGAGGTGGATAGCTGGGTAGAATATTTTAGACTTTTTAAAAATAAGCAAGAAAGGAAGTGTTGGGAATTAAATTCCCAGGCTCATCAACTTCATGGCAAGACTGTCAACACCCCACCTTTCTACAGCTTTCTCCCTGTTACCACTGAGCACGAATACTGACACTCACCCCTCAGTTAAGCACACATCACAACAACATGCCATTGCCGCATGTCCTTCGGGTTAAAAGGCTGCTTCTCCTTTTCTACCGTCATGTCAAGGAGATGGCACTATGCGACTGATAGTAACAGCAGCCTTTCTGTGGCTCACCTCTAAAGCTCTTTTACAGTTTTATCTGTTAAAAGTACCTTTCTTTTTACCCTGGGTCACAGCCTTCAAGTCCTCTTTGTGCAATGCCTAATAAAAGGGTTGGGGGGAGGGGGGGGTCCTCTGAAGTATTGCCACAGTGCCAAACCCCAAATGCTGATATTCACGTTCCATATAAATTTTACGTTACTTTTTAGCCACTCACTTGAGTTTCTTGAAGGCTTCCCTGCCACCAGCCACATACTGCTCTCCACTCTGAAGCTCCTCCAGCTGCCGGACGCGATGCCCACCCCGGGGGGTATAGATGTTACGCACAGCTCCAAAGGGTGCCTTCACCCTGCCTGTCACCTCTTTCAGGAATACCTCAAAGTTGGACACTTTCTTCTCATTGATGACAATACGGCGCCCTGGGAAGAAAGGGTCCCCATTGCGATATACCAGCACGCTCTTCACCATCGGCTGCGAGAGCCACGACCCCTTCGTGCCAGGACTAGTCATGCTCGGTGGCTTCGGACCTCCCGTGCAGTCCAACTCACCCCGCCGCGCTGCCTGCACCTGTTTACTCAGGAGAGGGTTGCTGCCTGAGCACCCCTTTCCCCTCCACCCTGACAACTGCCTGCCAGTGGTGAAGCGCCCACACCCACGCTGGGGCCTGGGCACCAGGGCCCACCTCCAGGGAGGCAGAGGAGGGAGCCCGGCGCCACGGGGAGGGATTATAGCCTCCCCGGGGCTGGCGGCACGGCTCTGCTCAGCCTTCCAAGAGCGACTCCTCCTAGGCAACCAGCTCTTGCTGCTCCCTGGCGCCTGGGGAGGTTAACGCCGATTACACTAAGCCCACACCCACGCTGGGGCCTGGGCACCAGGGCCCACCTCCAGGGAGGCAGAGGAGGGAGCCCGGCGCCACGGGGAGGGATTATAGCCTCCCCGGGGCTGGCGGCACGGCTCTGCTCAGCCTTCCAAGAGCGACTCCTCCTAGGCAACCAGCTCTTGCTGCTCCCTGGCGCCTGGGGAGGTTAACGCCGATTACACTAACCCAGGCAAAAAAAAAAAATGCAAGGGAAGAAAACCGACGCAGCAGGAAAATGGGGCTGCAGGGG